ATGATGATGATGAGGGTGAGGGTGATGATGAAGAGGATGACCGAAGATGATAATGATCATGTCATCTCTACAGGTGGCAGAGCGAGCTTTGTATTACTGGAATAACGAGTACATCATGAGTCTGATCAGTGACAACGCCGCCATGATCCTCCCCATCATGTTTCCTGCTCTCTACAAGAACTCCAAGAGCCACTGGAACAAGTAACAAATACACACACACACACACTTTGAGTGGAAACTGATACTAAACAATACAGGATCACTACTCCACATACAGATTTGTTTACTGCTGCTCGGGCTCAAACTGAAACACAGTTTAGTTACTGTTCACTCCTTTTGCTAAGCTAGGCTAGCTGTTTTCCATGTTGTGACTCTGTACTGAATGAAAACATGAAGATAAAAAACAGTAGAAATGTTTCTGTAAAAATTTAATTATTTGTTATTAGTCAGGAAATAAAACAAAGAACTGAAGCTACTTCGTGAAGTACTCTTCCTCCTCCTCTTCCTCAGGACGATCCATGGTCTGATCTACAACGCTCTGAAACTCTTCATGGAAATGAACCAGAAACTGTTTGACGACTGTACCCAACAGTACAAGGCTGAGAAACAGAAGTAAAACACAGATTTTAATTATTGTTGTATTGATTATTGGTAATTGATGAATTGCAGCAGGTATGGTGTCATTCAGTGATGTCACCCTTGAATGTCAAATGTCTTCTTGACCGATCATTTTTGCACTGTTGTTTCCTTTAGAGAGAAATACAGAGTGAAGGAGAGAGAGGAGATCTGGCACAAGATCGAAGAGCTGGCCCAACAGAACCCACAGGTACATATTCACCTGTCTCCTCACCTGTCCCTTGATCTGTCTCCTCACTGTCCCCTCTCCTGTGCCCTAACCTATCCCCTCACTGTCTCTTCACTGTCTCATCACTGTCCCCTCATCTGTCTCCTAAATGACAGTTCTTTTTAACCTTTAGACCAACAAGCTCCACCCTCTCCGTCCTGGACTCCACCCACAGGATGAGGTGAGAAGTCTTTCAGGTTTTTAATTGATGAGTTATTTAATTAGGGAATTCATTGATTAGTTATTGATGATCGATGTGTGATTAGTGTGAATCTATCCTGATGACATCATATTTATAATTTATAAAAGAAAGATTCATATTTTTATATCTAAAATCATCTGATCAGTTTTTTATCTGGATGTTTAGGTTTTACACTCTGTTTCCGTGTGTGTGTGTGTGTGTGTGTGTGCGCGCACAGTATATGTTTTACAGTGAAAGTACTGTAGCTGTGTACTCGATGGAAACAGAAACTCCGACAGTTGAAGACATTCAGCTACTGAAGAAGACTGTGGAGAGTGAGGCCTCACAGGTACACACACAGTGAGACACAATAACACACACAGTTACATTGTTGTTGTCATCCTCTGACAGCTTGTGTGTTGTGTAGTGGTGTAACAGCCTGTGTGTGTCTCAGGGTGTGAAGAAGGACCAGGCTCTGATGAGGAGAAAGTCTGAACTTCCTCAGGACGTCTTCACCATCAAAGCTCTGGAGGCTCATAAGAGAGCGGAGGAGTATCTGACAGCCAATCAGGAGGCTCTCTGACCTCCAATCCGTTTCTTAGGGGACGAAGTTAACGTTGTCACAGAGACGCTGTTCCGGGGTCATGAGGGCGGAGCTGACGTTGCGTTCTTAACAAAAAGAAAAGAAAAAGCCTCTCACCTCTGCCCCATTGCAGCTGACAACAGGAAGGACACTGTTAAAACTCCACCCTGTCCTCATCATCACTTCGCCTGTCGCTGTGTAAACACCACCTGAACCACAGGTCCCTGAACGCACCATCAACAGCTCCCTGAACGCCTCACAGACAGGTCCCTGAACTGCACACGCCGCCAAGAGTTCCCTGAACTGAACGCACCACCAACAGCTCCCTGAACGCCTCATAGACAGTTCCCTGAATGCACCGCGAACAGGTCTCTGAACCCCTCACAGACAGGTCCCTGAATGCAACGCCAACAGGTTCCTTAACCACAGGTCCCTGAACGCACCACCAACAGGTCCAGAACCCCTAACATACAGGTCCCTGAATGCTTAGCTAACAGGTCCCTGAACACACCACTAGTAGGTCCATGAACGCACCGCCAACAGGTCCAGAACCCCTAACATACAGGTCCCTGAA